CCCCTCGGGGGGCCCCTCGGGGGGCCCCTCGGGGGGCCCCTGGGGGGCCCCCTGGGGCCCCGTTGAGAGGTACTTGGCGAAGTTGAAAGTGTCTTGGAAACCCTTTTGGTGGTGATCGAACTTGAGGTTTTGGGGTGTATGTACACCTCCGACATCAACTAGAACGGAGCACTTTTGCAAGTCTTCGCTGCTGCGGCTGCGGCAGACTTTTGCTGCTGCGAATTGCTGCAGCGACAGCAGCAGCGCGCAAGCCAGCGCCTCGTCCAGGTGGAACCTGCAGCAGCAGCAGCAGCAGCAGCAGCAGCAGCAGTAGGCAGTGGCCAGCGAGCAGCGCAGCAACGGGAAGCGGAGCAGCGCAGCGAAAAGCAGCATAGCAGCAGCAGCAACAGAAGCATAACAGCAAGCAGCAAAGCAGCAGCAGAGCAGCAAGCGGCGAAGCAGCAGCAGAGCAGCAAGCAGCAGAGCAGCAGCAGAGCAGCAAAGAGTGTTTAGGCGGGCAGCAAGTGCTGCACAAGGCGGCACCGCCTCTGCAGCAGCAGCAAACCCATCAATCTATTCAACTTTATTTATTTATATTTATTTATTTATTTATATTTATTTATTTATTTATTTATTTATTTATTTAATTTGCTGCACCTGCCGTCGTGGGTGCCAATTGTGGGGCCCTTTAAAGCCCAAAAGTCCTCGCGGGATATTTGCGGCAGCGTCAAAGAGCTCATCTGCAGCAGCAGCAGCAGCAACAGCAGCAGTATTAGCAGCAGTAGCAGCAGTATTAGCAGCAGTGTGCAGCAGCAGCAGTAGCAGTATTAGCAGCAGCAGCAGCGGCAGTGCTGGCAGCATTTGCAGCAGCAGGAGTCGTAGTAATGGCAGCCATGGCAGCAGCAGCAGCAGCAGTAGAACCAACGCTAGCAGCAGTAGGAGCAGCAGTAGTAGCAGCAGCAGCAGCAGTACTAGTAGAAGGGGCAGCAGTACTAGGAGGAGTTGTAGCAGCAGCAGCAGCAGCAGGGGTTGTAGAAGCAGCAGCAGCAGTAACAGCAAGAGTAGCAGAAACGCAACAGATCTGAAGCAGCAGCAGAAACATAAGTGAGAAGACCAGCAGCAGCAACAGCAACAGCAGCCACAAGCACCCACAGCAGCAGCAGCAGCAGCAGCAGCATCAGCAGAAGCACCCGTAACAGCAGCATCATCAGCAGCAGTTGTACCAAGAGCATCTGCTGCAGAAGCAGGAGCAGCAGCAACTGAGGCAGCAGCAGCAGCAGGACAGACTCACCCTGGCTGTCCGAGAATTGTTCGCTACAGCAAGACGACAAAATTGCCGCCGGGAGAGAAAAGATAAGCTAGCAGCAGCAGCAGCAGCAGCAGCAGGAAGGCGCATGCAGCAGCAAATGGGGAAAGTGGAATTAATAAAGTTCAGGAGCAAAAAGAAAGCAGCAGCGGGAGAGCCCGGGAGCCGAGCCTCGCCAGATGGCAGCAGAGAGCAGCAAAAAGGAACTTTAGAAAGGGAAATAAAACAATAATTGAGTTTAAAATTAAAAATAAAAGAAAATAAATGTTTAATATGAAAAGAAATGCTCATTTAAACTGCAAAATGAGATAAATGTTTCATTTCCGTTCGGCGGCTGCTCCCGCCTCGATGCTCTGCGGTGTACAGACACCTGAGTGCTGCAGCAGCACCGCCACCGTGCATTCGGCTGTCTTTACAGAAACAAAAAGCAAAACATTGAATTAAAATATAATTAATCATTTTATTTATTTATTTCTTCTTTTTAAATTACTCAGCGAAGCACTGCAGCAACACAGCAGCACACGTCCCGGCAGTAGCTGACACCCAGAACAGCAGCAGCAGCAGCAGCACCTGCAGCAGCAACTGCAGCAGCAGCGGCAGCAGCAGAAACGCGACCACTGGCCTTCAGAAGGGCTCGGACAAGGCACACACTACCAGCCAGCAAGGGTTTAGGGTTTGGGGCGTGGGGTCTAGGGTTTGGGGTTTAAGACTGAGGGTTTAGAAGGCAAAGGGAGCAGCAGCAATGTGGAAAGGCCCGAAGCTGGGCTTGAGCTGCAGCAGCAGCACATCCTAGCCGGCGTGCTGCTGCTGCTGCTTCTGCTGCTGCTCTAGCCGTTGAACAAGAAGTGCAGCAACAGCAGCAGCAGCGCGAAAAACCGCACGCGAGATTCCATCTCTTCCGCTCCCTATTGCCGCTGCTGCTGCTGCTGTTGCTGCTGCTTCAACAGCTGCTGCTGCTCCTGCTGCTGCTGCCTCAACAGCTGCTGCTGCTGCTGCTGCTGCAGCTGCTGCAGCTCTTCCCGATCTGCTTCTTCCTTTTTCCTTTCATTTTTCAAAAGTCCTTCTGCCCAAACAGAATTCAGGTGTACGTACACCCCAGAGCTCTCGAGTGTACAGCTGGGAGTCGCGGGCAGCAACGGGACGCCGGCTGCTGCTGCTGCTGCTGCTGCTGCAGCTGCTGCAGCAGCTGCTGCTGCTGCTGCTGTTCACAAGAGGTATAATGCTGTGTGTTGCTGGTAAACTGCAGCAGCGGATGCAGCAGCAGACTCAGAAGAGACTGAAAGCCCTAAACCCTAAACCCTAAAGTAGCGAATAAAGGCTAAGCAGCTCCAGAAGTGGCTTTCCTGCTGTTGCAGGCCTGGAAAGGAGGCTAGACGCTTTTCTGGGGTTAAGGGTTTAGGGTTAGGGTTTAGGGTTTAGGGTTTAAGGTTTGGGTTTAGGGTTTAAGGTTCGCCGTTTACTTTCGGCAAATAAGTTCTCTATTAATTTAATTTAATTTAATTTAATTTAATTAAATTTAATTTATTTAATTAATTTCTCTCCATTTATTTCCTTGTAGTCCCCCCCAGCCAGCAAAGGAACAATTAACTCGAAGAGCCAGCTAGCT